CAGGAAGTTGGGAGGGACTGACTGGCCCTTCTTGCTCTTCCTGCATGCCTGGAAGTCACTGAGCTGCAAGGCTGCCACCAGGGCTGGGAAGTGCCCTGGGTGAAGACACTCCAACAGGCTAGGGAGCTTCAGGGAGAGGGGACAGATCTGAATTCCACAAGGCTTTGGAACATTGGTGAGGGAAGGACACAGAGTCAGGCGATGTGGACAGAAGAGACTCGGAACCTCAAATCTCAGAGAGGATGAGCATGAGTCTCAGAGGGAGTGTAAGCACTGTTCTGGATCACAAAGGGACAGGATGGAGGAACCCAGAGCCTTGGTCCTGAAGAGGCTGTGTGCCACCGTAAGCAGTACACTTCCTCTCTTGTCAACAGAGGGGGCTGCAACCTACGACCTCTGAGGGCCTGTGGGACCCTGACCCTTGGTTCCTTGGTGGTGCTGAGGATACTGGAGCTCCAGAGCAGAGACCTGATCTGATGACCCCTCCATCTTCCCGACAGCACCAGCCCCTGCAGAAGCTGGGAGGGGAGGACCATCGTGTGCAGGTGCCCTGCCCTCCAAGGACGATGATGAGCGTGCCAGGCTGTCATCACACCTGAGAAGCAGTGGTCTCTCTGCTGCAGAGGAGCAACGGAGAGCCCCACAGTCCAGTCAGCTCGGGCCTGACCTCTAGCACACACCCGCGGCTGCCCCTGGTAAAAGGCAGCCGAGGCTTGAAGTCCTAACTGGGCCCACAAGGGTCCCTGTCCTTCAGTCTCCTCCCTCCCCGCTCCGAGCTGCTCTGCTGCCCTAGAGCACACAGTCTCCTCAGAGCACGTAGCAGAGGAATTTGAACTCAGAACTGACTTCTCTATGCCTACTCTGGACACCAGAGCCCTGGTGGTTGTGTGGTTATACCTCCTCTGTGAGGTCAGCAGTTTGAAACCACCAGGAACTCCACTGGAGAAAGAAGAGGCTTTCTACTCCAGTTCTACTCTGGCCTAGAGGGTCCCTACCAGTCGCCATCAACGTAACGGCAGTGAATTTGGTTTTGGCTCTAGACCCTATTTGCTTCTGGGGACCCCAAGGCCTTCCAGGCAACGTGTGTGTCCACAGATCCACGTGGCTGCGATCACCCTTCCCTCAGAGGGGTTCAGGGTGCAGAACCAGGGGATCCAAGTGCAAGCAGCACCCAGCCTGGCCCGTCAGAGGGCAGCCCACTCCCCACCCCAGCAGGAGCTGCAGGCCATACCAGCAGCCCACGCCTGGACTGGCACACAGGCCTGCCATTGTCTGTACAGTGCCTGGCACGCTCTCGTTTGCATAGCCACGTGAAGAATGCAAAGGAGCAGCCTAGGGACTTGTCCCAGCAGAGAGGGCCGGGCTGTGGGGGGAGGGAGGCTGGTTGGGGTCCTGGCTGGACCCACCCTGCCTTCCCCAGTGCTGCTGGGGATGGCGGGGGAGGCTCTGGTGGGGCCAGCAGGAGGCAGTGGGAGCGGGATTGTGGCATTCCTCCTGCACCCACGCCAGGAGCCCGTGGGGCTGGACGTGAGGGGACTGCTAATGAGGCCGAGGACAGTTAAACATTCCCCTGCACCCAAGGGCTGCGCTGGGGTCAGGGAGAGGGGGTGGTGGGAGCTAAGAGGGGGCAGCAGGAACCCCAGGAATGTGTGGAGGCTGCCACTTCCCTCCAGGCTACAGCCACCCGTCCCCAGGTCTCAGCAGGAGCAGCTAAACCAGCCAGCAAGGGGATTAAGAAGCTTTGTGCCTTCAGGTTAATGCCAGGTCCGGTAGGGGCTGTCTCTACCTCCCCACCAGGCCTCCTGTGGGCCAGCAGCCAATGTGGCAACTGCCTTGAGGGGGGCCCAGATCACAAACAGACCCCCACAGTTCTTGTCTCCAGCTTGACCTGCCCTGTTCCTGATATACACAGCCCCCTGGGGCCCAGGGACCCCTCCTCTCCAGCCCCCAAACTCCCAGCCCCACCCCTCAGCTCAGTCTCCAGAACTGGTCTCAGACCCCCTGCCAAAAAGTCCTCCCTGATACCTATCTCTACCCTTACCTGCTGCAAACTGCGATCCCTTCTCATTTCTGCCCTAAAGCCCCAGTGGACAGAGCCCACAAGGGTCAGATCAGCCGGGAAAGAATCAAGTCCACAACCCAGGCTGGTGCTTGGGGCAGGATGAGAAGAATTTCAGGGCTTGTGAGTCAGGTGCCTAATGGAGTTTCCCTGGGCACAGAGGCTCTGAGGTCATGCAGGGTCATCCCTCCCCATCACCTCCCCCTCTGTGCCTGAAAGCTGGGACAGGGTTACCCACCTGGGCTGCAAGTCCCACCTCCCACCCCCAGGGGGCTGGGTCTGAGCCTTGCTGGGGACCCAGTTGGGCTGGGGCTGCTGCTGTGGGCGGGCCCCTGGCCTTTTCCAGCCCCTGGGCCTCCCCCTGCATTCTGGAACCCAGAGAGGCTGCTGCCGCTGCTGCTATTGCTACTGCGGCCACCTCCCCTGCCCTGCCTCTGATCACGCAGCCCCATCCCCCTGCCCTCGCACCTGTCATGAGCCCAGCCCTCTCAGGGATCCTGGACCAGCTCTGAGCCCTGGGACCCTGGCCCCCTCCCCTGGGCCATGGCCAACTCGGGCCTCCAGCTGCTGGGCTACTTCCTGGCCCTGGGGGGCTGGGTGGGCATCATCGCCAGCACGGCCCTGCCACAGTGGAAGCAGTCATCGTACGCCGGCGATGCCATCATCACGGCCGTGGGTCTCTACGAGGGGCTCTGGATGTCCTGCGCCTCCCAGAGCACCGGGCAGGTGCAGTGCAAGCTCTACGACTCGCTGCTCGCCCTGGACGGTAGGCCTCGGGGCCAGGGGCTGGGGGCACTGGCCACCCCGAATGGTGGGCTCTGCTGCCTGTGAGTGGGTGGGACATGGGTACAAGGAGGTCTGGAAAGAGCTCTCCCCACAGCCTGCGGCAGCTCCGGGCTCCACCCCTGCACTAACACCTCCGTGTAGATTCCAAACCCAGGCCAGCGTGGCGCCCCTGGGCCTGGCAGCCATCAGCTGAATCCCTGCTCTGTGGCTCTAACCTGTTTAGGTCCCTAGCCTCTTTGTGTCCCCCTGCCCCATCTGTGAGGGGCCCGAAGACCTTCCCAGTGCAGGGGTGGCTGAATGAGAAGAGTGTCTGGCACTGGGTGCAGACACACACAGCTACCCCCCTAGTCCTGCCAGCAGGGACACACACACACACACACACACACACACACCACACCCTGCCCTGCCAGCAGCCTCCAACCCTGGTCTGGGGAGGCTGAACCCTCCATACTGCCCATGGGCCTAGTAGGCTCTGAAGCCAGGGCTGCTGTCACATGCCCCGGGCACACCACACGGCTCACGGGCAGGCTCCGGGCCTCCCTCAGGGACCCGAGCTCGCACGGAGAGGTAGGCACCGGGCAGGCTGGGCTAGGTCCTTCAATGGGAAGAGGGAAAGGGGATCGGAGTCAGATGGGCCTGTGGAGGAGCGGGCCCAGCTGCTTGGGGCAGGGGGGTGGGTTCAGGGAGCAGGCCAGCCCCAGAGGGAGCCGCTAGGCCAGAAGGTATCAGAAGAGACAAGTGACATGGCCTGGCACTTGTCTTCACTTGGGAGGGAGGGAAATTGTGAAGGGGACCCTCACCTCTCCTACACACGCAGAAAGAGGTCTGTCCTCCCCGGACTGCCACACCCGGGGCCCTTCACACCTGCTGACTGGGATCCTGCTCAGGGGCTGGGGGCTGGTTGCTTAAGCCAAGACCCTGAGGCGCCCCCTCATTCATCCCCCAGGCCACATCCAGTCTGCACGGGCACTGATGGTGGTGGCCGTGCTCCTGGGCTTCGTGGCCATGGTGCTCAGTGTGGTCGGCATGAAGTGCACTCGGGTCGGAGACAGCAACCCCATCGCCAAGGGCCGTGTGGCGGTCTCCGGGGGCGCCCTCTTCCTCCTGGCTGGTGAGTGGCCCTGACTCCTCCCCTGGGGCCATGGCAGGGGGCCGGGGCAGAGCAGAGCTGAGCCCCCACCTCCCCTGTCCATAGGCCTCTGCACCCTGACTGCCGTCTCCTGGTATGCCACCCTGGTGACCCAGGAGTTTTTCAACCCGAGCACACCTGTCAATGCCAGGTGGGTGCCAGGGCATGGCTTGGGCCTGGGGGGCGGCGGGGACAGGGGAAGCCTCCTCTGTGCCTTGTCCAGCTGCCTCTAAGAGCCAACCCAGCACAGGGCAGTTGGCGGGGCTGTGAGCAGCTAGCTCTGCAAGGCGGAGGCCCGCAGTGGGCACCCAGGAGCCTCGGGAGCTTCCCAAGGGCTTGAGAGGTGAGGGGGAGGCACCCTGGCTGGGCAGGTCCCAGCTGTGGGGCCTGGACAAGTTCCTTCAGCTTTCTGTGCCAGGGGCGGAGATGCACTGGGGCGCTCAGCTCGTGGCTTCCTGCAGGGGGCAGCAGTCACTGTGGACGGTGACAGGTTGCAGCCACCAGAGCCCAGGGCGCCGAGGAAGAACCCAGTCCAGGGAGGCCACGGGTTGTTCCTGGGGTGGAAAGCAGTCTGCAGCCTCTCAGGGCTGTGCTGTGCAGCAGCGGGAGGGGAGGGACAAGACCAGTCAGGGCAGAAGTCTCCTCTTGAGAGAGGGCGAGGGGCCAGGCAGGGAGGTGGAGGTGGAGGAAGAACGGGTTGGGAAAGTCAGGCCATCAGAAGGGCCTGGGCCCTTCCTCTGAGCCCTGCCAGGAGCAGAGGGTGGAAGAGTTCCAGCCTGGTATGCCAGCAGGGCCAGGGTGGAGAGAAGGACAGGAGAGACGCTAGCCTGTGGTTGTAGGATGGGGAGAGCAGTAGGAACCCTTCCCGGTGCAGCCCGCCCAGGAGTCAGGCGCTCCCCACAGAGCCAGAGAGTGTGAGCATTCTGGGGCCAGACAGAGGAGGGAGCCTGGGGGTGGGGTTATCACAGAGAGTCCTCAAGAGGTGTCATTTGAACTAGATCCTGGAGGTGAAGGAGCTCAGCAGGTATACAAATGAGGGGACACTCCAGAAGGGAGGCAGCCAGCTGGTGCAGTCAGAGGAAGGAGATCTAGGGCAGGAACCGGGGGGCTCCAGAGGAAGAGGACGCAGGGAGTTGTCTGCACCACCCTGGCCAGACTTCACCTTTCCCTGCCCCCTACCAGCCTGATGAGGTGTCCCCAGATTGAGACAGGGGTAGACAGGGAGCAGGGCCTCCTGGGCCTGGGTCACTGTGAGGTATTGCTAAGCTGGGGCAGGGAGAGGAAGAGGAAGAAGGCTGAGCCCTCCCCCAGACATAGCTAGAGAGGCTGGGGAGGCCCCCACCCCCAGCACCCCTCACCCTGCCCACCCTCGAGTGAGGAACAGGGCCCTGAGGGGGCCCGAGAGGGAAGACCTGGTGTGCCTTCCCCTTAGAGCAGCCATACCTGACAGCATCCTCCCCACCCTTCCAGGTACGAATTTGGCCCAGCCCTCTTTGTGGGATGGGCCTCTGCTGGCCTGGCCATGCTCGGGGGCTCCTTTCTCTGCTGCACGTGTCCGGAGCCTGAGCGATCCAACAGCAGCCCACAGCCCTACCGGCCAGGGCCCTCAGCTGCTGCCCGAGAGTACGTCTGAGCCCCGTCTGGTCGCCCACTCAATGGCCCGCTTGCCCCAGCACTCAGCTGGAGCCAGTGGGGTATAGGATGAACCCCCCCTCCCCGCCCAAGCACAGCCCGAAGCTCTGAGCAGCTGTCTCCCACACAGACTCACACCCTGAGAGCCCAAACCCAGCCCCAGACCCTCAGAGATGCCAAGTGGCACGAGCCCAGGTGCAAGTCATTACTCCTGCCTGCTCAGGGCACCAGGTGGACAGGCTCACTCGCATGGCATCAGTCCAGGGGCCATCCCCATCCACCCGTATACTTGCTCACTTACTGGATAGCATGAGCAATCTGCTATATGGCAGCCTGGGGACACACCAGAGGACAGGAGGGAGGGCCTTTAGTGTCCAGCATCTTGTGGTGAACAGATCCTTACCTCCTTGGTCCTCACCAACCACTCTCAGCAACCCAGGTGAAGGCAGTGGGGGCGGGGGGTGGGGTGGGTGAATGTCCCCACACTGAAGATGACCAAGAGACTTGCCCTGGTCCCTCTGAGTTCAGGTTCAGTCCCTCCAGTATGCTTTGCACTGCCACAGACACCAGAGAGCTAGGGCAGACCACACCACCCAGGAATGAGCCCCAGGCAGGGCAGGTCAAGATGGACCGAGCTGGTCAGCACCTGTGTCTGGGCCTGGGTGCCCCAGCCCTGCCTTCCCCCCTCCGCTGCTGCTCACCCCACTAACCAGCTTTCTCTCTTTTGACTTTCAGACCAGTTGTTAAATTGTCTGCCTCCGTCAAGGGCCCCCTGGGTGTGTAAGGTCCTGGCCCTGCCCCCCTGCCACACCTAGACTGTGTGGTCTCTTGTGGAAAGAGAAGCGAGCATCCAGCGAGTATATTTGGTGTTGTGTGGTCTGTCCACATTGTGTGGGCCCTTGGGCATAATGATGGGGAGACTGTGGTGGGGTTGGGTGGGCTTCAGGGAACACTCAAAGCTCTGCCGGGAGGAGCTGCTTGGCTTTGAACTGGAAGTTCTGGCCTGCCCCAAGGCCCAGCGCAGCCTTGGGAGCAAGCGGCCTGGAGATGCAGCCCTGTCCCAGCTCCTTTGGTCTGCCCTTGGGAGACCTGCTAAACGGCGAGGCCATCCTTGGGCGAACTTCCAGCCAGGGGCTCAGGGCCAGAGTTAACTGCAGTTGGATATCAAACTCACTGCCATCCATTCTATCCAACTCACAGGGACCCCATGGAGGAGCTTCCTAAGGGGAGAAGGGATTCGAGGAAGGTCATTAGGATTCTCAGACATCAGGACTGCCCTGTCAAGGTCTGACACACCCGGCTCTGCCCCTACCACTGCCCAGACCGCTAGGTGGCTGATTATATCAGGCCCTGGACAGGAGTGGAGAGGAAGAGGCCTAAGCAGCGTCCTAGGGAGGTTCTGAGCGAGAAAGGCATCTGTCTTGAAATCCAGGCTCCAGTCCCTAAAGAGAGAAGGGAAAGGCCCCCAGGCAGCCCAAGGTCAGGGCCCTTCCTTCTCTGTCTCCCCCAACCAGAGCTACAGGCCTTTCCACACACGCCAGGCTGCTCCATCCCAATGTCCGCTCCGGAGAGTCTCTGCTCCCCACCCCACACCGGACTGCACAACAAACTCCTGGAATGAGCTGTCCACACTGGCCCTCTTCCCGGGCCCCCACCCCCTCCTCTGCCACTTCTTCTTTTTTTATTAAATCGTTTTATTAGGGGGCGCATACAACTCTTATCACAATCCATACAAACATCCATTGTGTAAAGCACATTTGTACATTCATTGCCCTCATCACTCTCAAAACATTTGCTCTCCACCTAAGCCTCTGGCATCAGCTCATTTTCCCCCTCCCTCCCCGCTCCCCCTTCCTCTGCCACTTCTGGTGACTGTATCACACACCAAGTCACCAGTCTGCAGGTCATATAGCTCGGCCTTGTCCCTCAGCTTGACTTTGAGAGGGGAAGTGGCCGTGATAAAGTCAGGCAAGAAAAATGTCTGCAGACTCCAAACGAGGCCAGGAGGGGAGGAGAGAAGCAATTAGAGGTGGCTGCTGTTGGACTGGCCCCTGGGTCCCATGACCTGCCAGGCTCGGAACATCTGCAAGGGCACCGGACAGGTCATCTGGCCTCTGGCCCTAGGGCTTGGTTCGAAACCGGGCTATCAGAGACCTGCCCCTGGAATCCTAAATGGAAAAGCAAACAGAAGTCTCTATGGGTGCATCTCATCGCTGGCTGTCCGTTAGAATCACCTGGGTGCTCATGCCGGGCTCTCCCCAGACCAGGATCCTGACTTAGTTGGTGGGAGATGGGCTGGGCCCCTGCCTTCCTGGAAGCCCCCGTAAGTGACTGTAATGGTGGTCCACATGGAGGCTGCCTCCATGAAGCCGAAAGCCCATGGCTATTGGGAACCTCTTCTTCTTTTCCTAGTCTGAGGGAGTCTGTGCACAAGGGGTGGAAAGGAAGCCCTGCCACTTCTTGCCGCTCCTGAGACCAGCTGCCTTTCCAATAAATGTCCCTTTTTGCTTAAACAGTGTTGAACTTGAGTCCTGTCACACACACACCCTCCCCCACAACAGAAGCCTAGTGAGTAGAGTTTGGAACCAAAGCACTGTATGTGGCAGAGACAGCCTCTGCTCCGTGGTCCTGGCCAAGTACGGGTGAGACAATGAGGCCAGGAGGACCTTCCCAGCGCAGGCTGAGTACCGGAGGCCCTGCCATGTGGTCTCAAAGCAGTTGGCTAGGAAACCATGCATTGTCTGTCTACTGGGCTTCAGGCTCCACGAGAAGCTTGGGACTTGGTAGAAAAAAAGAAAACACCCGGATAGAATGTGTTGGCTTCTTCCTGTGGACTCCAGTAAGGAACTGAGGACCAAGGTTTGCCTGTGCCTCTGTTCAGGGAAGCCCTTCCAACTCTACCCAGAGATGGGAGACAGCAAGTCAGAGAACCACACACCTTGCTGAGTTGTGTAGCCCAACCAACAGGCTGGGGTACACAGGAGTAAGCCACGATAGGAACGAAGTTAGACAGCATCGCGCCTCATGACGTTAGTCCACTGCAAAAGGGCACATAGACTGTAGGGTCTTTCTTATGTATATAAAATTAGGAGGGAAAAATGTAAAAGAAACCCATCATTATTGGTAGTTAAGGGGGGTAGTTTTTGCTTAGGAGACGAGTGTTCATGAATGGCAGAGGATGACTGGGGAAAGGGCTATTGGGAAGGGTTGTGTCACTTGAACAGTGTAGCAGGGTCGCTGAATTGTACATGTAGAAATGGCTGGATAGGCGTCTGCTTTGTTTTGTACGTTTTCACTACAGTGAAAAAAGTAGTGAGATCTTGGAATCAGGAAGATGTCTGGTCCCCCATAGGCCTCCCCTGGAGAGAAAACACACACACACACACACACACTCTAAATGTCTACATCAAGGTCACCTGGGCTGCCAACCAGAGGCAGGGCCAATTTTCCAGAACTCCTGGTCAGGAGCTTGTTTACTGTCCTGGCCTCGAGGCTGAAGCCTTGGGCAGAGACCAGGAAGGTGGGGCTCAGACTCAAAGGGCATGTTTTTCGAGCTTTGGTCATTGTTTATTAGCAAACAGAATTCCCCAAGACTGAGATGAGAGGCCTGTACCATGAGTTGTAGGAAATGCCCTCAGTCCCAAAGGAAAGCCCCAGCCCCCAGTAGACAGCCGCAGGTGGGCCCCCCATCCCCCCACCCCCGCCCGCAGTGCACTGAGTCTGCCCTGGAGTAGCTGGGTGGGGAACGCATTTACTGCTGAGGAAGATCAGAGCATGTTATCTCAGAGAAAGGTGTAAAGGTTGAGTATTAGATGATATCAAGGAATTACTTGTTTTCTGAAAACCCTTATCTGTTCAAGGTGCACATTGAAATTACAGAATGGGTGTGCTTTTAAAAGCTTTAAGAGCAGAAAGTTTGGGGCCAGCGCAAGTTATAAAAAAAGGTTGGCAAAATGCCTATGGTGCCTGGCGGGGAGGGGGTTTGTTATTCTCTTCATTCTGTGTGGATGTTTGCAAAGGAAAAACTCACAAGAGTGAAGAGCACCAGGTTGTATCATCTAATATTACCCCCCCCAGCTCAATGCTATCACAGACTTTAAAGAAGAATGAGCAATGCCTTAAGGAATGCCTCCCAATTCCATCTCCTCGTGTTGTTAGCTTGAACTCCTAGTGTGGTTCTAACTCACATGCATGACAACCATGGCATGCATGACAATGTTCCTTGTCATCAATACTGGCTCGCAGCACCCTGAGACTCCTAACTGTTTTACAGGAGGAGAAAGCCCAGGGCTGCTTCTGGTCCCTCAGCAGGAGGTATATTTCAGCCCACTGTTGCAGCCATTTCATTGAGGGGCTTCCTCGTGTTTGCTGCCCTCTGGAAGACATTATCAAGCATAATATCCTTCTCCACACTGGACCCTCCTGGGCACACACTTCACTCACTTCCAAGTAGTCTTCTGGCTGTACTTCTAAGATTTGTTAGTGGCTCTGGCAGTCCACGGTACATCTAATACCCTGCTCCAACAACACAGTCCAACTCCATCAATTCTTCCTTGAGCTTCCTTTCTCACTGTCCAGCTTTTGCATGGAGATTCCGAGACTGGAAATACTATGCCTCGGTTCAGGTGCACACACTTTTGTTCTCAAAGTCACATATTTGTAACCCTTTACAGAGAGCCTTTGCCACGTATTGGTCTAATACAACACCATCCGATTCCTTGACTGCCGCTTCCATGGGCATTGATGGTGGATCCAAGTAGAACAAAGCTGCAGTATTGTCTCCAATTATCATTAGTCAATTATTGGTCATAGGATATATAAAATGTTAATATTTCGTTCAATTTAAGATAACATTGCAGGCAATTTTATTCTAACCAACCCTGAGAAATAGGGAATGAACAAAAGGCTGCTGGGAAGGCTGATACTAGTGCTGACACCTTGTATTCACTTTCACCACCTGTGTTTTCTTCCTCTCCTGAACTCACCTGGCAAAACCCTGCTTTGAAGCAGTATCATGCTGCCAAATGGGCCATCAAGCAACCTGGCAACTCAATCGGATTTCCTTCATACATTTATTTAGGCTTTCTCCAAGACAATTATTTTGGGATTTTAATCTACCATCATCTTTCCCCTTTTGGTTTGCATTTCAAGACCCACTCAAAATGTCTTTTTTTTTAACCTGAAATTGCATCGAATCAATTAAGTTTTTGAGAGAACTGGTGTTATTGGATTGAGACATAATATCCACAAACACGAAAAACTCCCTCCACCTTCGTCAACATCTTTCAGTACAATTTTGCCAACTTCCTCCACACTTAAATGTTTTGTTAAATGTATCCCTAAAGACTTTCCTTCGTACTACCACAAAAAGACATAGCTTTGCCATGGTATAGCCTATTATTATCATATGTAACTATCAGTCAATTATCATGAGTTACTCTTCCCCGATGCTGCCGTCTTTATTGATCTATATTTGTATCTTACAGCACTGCTCAAGCCTCCAGTACACTGTTCACTAGAAACCAGGACAGTAATACCAGTTGTTCCTCATTGTCAAAGGGACACCACAGTCCTGACCACTCTCTCCTTTACCCAGTTGGCTTTAGTCACACAGCTCTTATCACGGAACATACATAAGCTCAAAGAACCAGCCTCAAGGTTGAGCATCAGAAACCAAATGAAAAAACACTGGCTGCTGCTGCTACTGTGCTCTAAAGCAGTGTCCCTGCTCCACCATGTGTGTGACCTCCTACCGTACAGTACTGACATCCACATGGGTACAGTTCAGTGTCAACCTCAGCTCTAAACCTGCATCCTGGCTACAAGAACTTTCTGGATGCCTACTCCTCACGTATAACAA